CACTCTGAAATGCTGCCAACTGTAAATCATGTGGCTCAAATGATTCCATACTTCTTATATTTTACTGCTAAATAAAACCTTCGTGAAGGAATAACTTTGTTATCTTCTTGTATATTCACATTGTTATTCATGAAGTTCTGGACAAAAACATTATATTATGTAGCCCCCAGTAACTGAGATTTTGACTTTCGACATTTTCAACAAGACTTGTTTTGGTAAAAATACTGAAAGCTTTTATGTAATTTGGTATTTATTTGATGTTGTTTGAGCATGATGTTAATACATATCATATGTTCAACTTTCACTTTCTAGTTGACAAATTTAATCCATTCATGAAAATTCTCTCTGAATAATGACAACAAATCTTGGTATTTTGGGAAAGAAACAGTAATTGATAAAATCTGGAGATATTTTTTGTGTGAATATTATAGCTCACAAGATGTTGGTATATTTATTTTGTAAACTAAATGCACCCGGTTTCAGCCATATAACCCCTTTATTTGAAACTGTAAAAAAACAATTTTGCGTCTAACTTAACAATCTGCAGGAGTGGTTCCATTGATTGTAGAGTTTCTATGATTTTATAAAAAACTGAAAATATTATGTAGAAACTTATTCTGTGATAATACTGAAAGAGAAAGTTGCCACACGTTAGAAGATAAAACATTAGACTTTCTCCCCAGGAAATAAACAAACCATTTCAATTCACTGGTGTCATTTATTGAAGACTACCCCAAGACAATTGAGATGAGATAAAGAAAGTGTAACAAAGCTCTCAAATTATATCATCTTATTTTCTATTTAATCATATTTAACATTATCAAGCTAGAGTAGAATGTCATACTGCCGTTAGCAGGGTGGCCATCTTGGACCAATATTTATATTAAAGCGCGATAACATCTTCTGAAATATCATCTGGAGTTTGATGAACTCTCTGGGGTTCTGTCTCAGATACCTTCCAAAATAAAGAAAAAAACAAGTTGATAAAAATATTCACCCCCTGTGAAGAGTGAAGGGCCACCTCCAGATAAAACATCTATCAATTTGGAATATTTTGATAATTTGTGAACCTGACTGATAAGCTTGTCTTTACTCTTGCTAAAATCGTGTACTAAAAAACCTTTCAAAATAAATTTCAAAATAATTCCTGCAGTGTTTTTACTCTTTTCAAAGACCTGTCTGTAAAAAATATCTTTAATGTGCGTTAAAAAGATAAGGAAATTCTGCAAGATTTATGATGACAAGATTAAGTTAAAACAAAGAACCACATTTTTTCCCTAAAACATGAAAATGTACATTTAAGAAAAGTTGAATTAAGTTATTTTGACAGTCAGACTTTAATAGATTCTATATGATTAAAATCCAAGAAGCTATCGTCCAACTTTGATCCACAACAAAAGATAATATTTTAAAATCGTATTTTTTAGCACAGAGTTATCTGTTTTTGAAAATAGTATCTCTGATTTCAACCCATAATTTCTGTAATAATCGCAAATGACCTTGAAATATTTGAAAAAGTTTCTACATGTATAAACCAGAAGGAAAATGACATACCTCAACTTATGAACTCTAAAATATAAAAAGGAAATTATTCGAGTTATGCCACATAAATATCAATTTTCATAATTTCTGAAGTGAAGATAAGATTGAAATAATGAAAATGTTTAAACCACAGTTTTAAAATTAGAATGAATGATATACTAATAAAGGATAATGATAGTTCTTAAAAGATAAGATAATGTAAGAAATATTGTGAGAAAATATGAGTTAGAACATTGGTTGGTTCAGTTTTGCTGAACGTGTAATATATGATCCTCTGAATTTGACCCTGTCTTATATAGAATGAAAGACAGTAGCGGTACTATTCGTCTGAGACTACAAACAGGGGACAGACTGATGAAATGTGGGGACTACTGTCGAGGTTTAGATTCAAAATGAAGCAGCTCAGTGACAGTGCATGGATGCATTACTCCTTTGGAGCATCTGAGAAGGTTCTCCCCTATAATAAAAAAATTGAAAAATAGTATTGATTTGGTGCATTCTGACACATATTTTGGTGCCATTACTGATAAGAGAATACTGAATGACGCTATGTTCCCTGACATGTCCGAAGAAAGTGCAAACTTTTGTGGTACATGACTTAATTTTCCTTGCAAGGAAACACTTGCTTAATATAGGCCTACAATTGTAAGATCTTTATCATTAATCAGTTATCAAAATTATGATAAGTTCCATACTTAATATCTTTAATTACATCCTCTTTATTTCAATTGGTGTTAAGTGATGGAGGTGTGCACTTTATTACAAGTCAAGATGTATAATGATTCAAGATAAATATTGATAATTTATAATAAATTTGATCTTCAAGCAATTTGTGGAATTCGTTTGATCCTTTCTGAAGATATTATAGGTATAATAATTAAGAATCATATTGGCATTATCAAATTTTTATGCTGCTAAACACAATTCACCCCATAAGGCAGATATCTGGATATATCCTGGATTATTTTTGAAACTTTATCTCAAATGCATAATATATGATTAAGATATGAAATAACACATCTAATGATGACAATAACAAATGAAAATAACTGGTTATAGTTTCAGAAGTATATTGCTGTGATTAACATGTTATTATCTTTCATTTCCTAATTAGATTTATTAGAACTGTTTATTATCAATGTTTACTCAAAGTTGTTTATTAGAACCAAATATCATTATCTTATCAATACTATAGTATGTACTGAGATACTAAACTCTGGAATGGTTATATATAGTAACAAGTACTCAACATCTACTTTACATATACTTCTAACATCTAACTTTATATCAGAATACGCTTGACAAACATCCAATTAACACAACTCAGATAATCAACGTCTTGAGGTTGTCTTAGTGAATTATATCATCTGTATTTGATGTCATGGCATTTGTATTATTATTGATATCAAATTTTGTACAAATATTTCATTAGTATCTTGAAATCAAGAAACAATCTTAAACTTTTTAATATGACAATAACTTTACATAGTAGAGCTTTGGTAGGACACTTCAGGAATATTAGTAAACAGGGGTTTATGGTAACATAGGACAAGGGGGTGCCTGTAATTGGTCCATTAAGAAGTTCCTGGCTGGTTTGGATCACCAGTACACATAGTTTTAATAACTAGTTTGTTTTTCTCAATGATGTTTCGATATCTGTAAGGAGTCTTACTAGAGTTCATTAAAAGATAACTAACATAAGTAAGAACTATTAGTTATCGGTGAGATAACATATCATAAATACTATATGGTACTAATACTATCCCAGTTAAAAACATCAAATACAAATGAATTAAATGAAAATTATCTTTAGTTTTGAAAAATGACATAGACCATTCCATTCTCCTCATATCTAAATCATGAAACCACTTTGAAATCATTGACATGGTTTTTTCGATAATAATATTCTGCGCCATATAGTGCTTTAAGAAATCTAGCCAAGAAAATGAATATCTTTAATACATACAAAAGATTGTTTCCGGAAACATGTTGAAACATTGCATAAAACTTGATTGTTGTTCCATAAAGCTGTGTCTATATATCAATTGCTAAATGCCATTTAAAGTATTCTAAATACAAGTGTCCGATATGCAACATATACGATATATTATGCTGTCTTTACAAAATTCAACATTTCTGTTCCATCTAAACAACTAGATACTAGTGCCCCACAATACTATCGATGAGAATTAGAATTAGAATGTCTTCAAAATAAAAGAGCACCTTAGTATTGAGATATCAACTTCTCCTTGGTATACTATTTATATTAACATTTTTTAATTAAAATCATTTTAAATAATGTAAAGAATACAGAAGTATGGTGTTGACAGGTTCATGTTAAGTTAATATTTACCTAAACAGAAGTATTAAACAGCATGACTCTTTAGATATTTGGCATTAGGAAGATAGTTCGGTACAAACAACATATCATAGCAATAGATTTAGTACAAATAACATTAGTGTATATAGTTCTTTATCAACACACCTCATTATAACATACTTTATCTACATACTTTAATAAACCTTTAAACATTTACTTAACATCATCGTCAAAACATCAACTACCATTCTGCATCTGTTTTCAAACATAGTGCATCTTTTATTCAAAGTTACACAGCACTGCAGACATTACACAACTACTGTAACAATATTATGACAGCAGTCTACATCTGTAGACAGCTTTTATAGCTTTCTGACATGAAAAGAATGAAAGAATAAAATACTACTACAAAGAAATGAACTTTAAATGTGAAGTTGAAGATAGATAGGGTAGGAGATGCACAGTTAAACAAGCATTGACCAGTCAATATAAATAAATAATAGAGTGTAGAAACACATGTTCTTTAATTCACTACACCATGTTTGTCATGGTTGGAGAGCATGTAGTGAGAGAAATTTTGCTTGTTTTGGTCAGATCTTGTGGTCAACTATTTATACAGCTTGTGAGAACTGTTGGCAGGAATGGAAAAAGAAGTTCATCTCAAAACATTTCAGCAAATTGATTTAAATGACAGATCTAGAGTTAGGTTTTAATGAGGCTTTGATATTGATATAGACATGGGAAGATCAGTATTTTGGTAGTAAAGGTTAGGAAGGTCAAGTCAATGATAACAACTTGGTACTCAATGTTTGATGTACTGTGAACTGATAATTAAAATGCTCAGTGATACTGTTAATATTAGATATCTTAATAAATAGTCATTTAATTATACTATCTCATTAATATACATCTTAATATCTTCTTCTGACCACTTGAAAATGTACCTTTGTGTTATTTTCCTTTGCTGTAAGCTTAGGTCTGGCAGCAATGACTCTATGAGAGCATAAAATAAAACTACAGTGATTAAAAAATTTGTTATCAAGTTAAACAAAATGTGACACATGACACTATTCTGATTTAGCAGACTTCTGGTTTTCAATCATTTTCAAAGCCAATATTCATCTCAAAGACAAACAACATGAAAAAAATTTACCAGGAAATACATATATTTTCATCCATCAGTGCCTTTTGTTTTTCAACTGCAGAGGCAAAAAGTGTGTGGATATATTTGACTTTATTAGCAACCTATAGTTTTAACAGATTCATCCAAAACTATAATTATGATTTATATTTGTCTATTTTCAGTCCATTGGGTCATTGTTCTATCTATAATGGTACAATCTGTAAGGATGTGCTTGGTTCTAGATATGTCTTCCACAATATAACATACACTAATACAACAACCAGTATTAATGAAGGCATTGTCCGAAGATTGTTACAAGAAATGAGGGAACAGGCTTTATTTAAATCCATGTGTAAAGAAGAAACAGCCAAAAAGTTAATGTGTCACTATGCATTTCCAGACTGTGAAAGAAATACTCCAAACCAGTTACAAATTTGCAAGTAAGTTTTTTTTTATCATTTCCCATAAGTCTGGAGAATCAAGGTTGGCTGAAAAACATGGAAGTAGTCCTAAATAGTGTGAAGCCTTTGTAACTTGTAACATAAAATAAGAGTATATAAATATGGAAGTAGTTACTAAATATATGTTTATTATCTATTGCTAATATTTGTATGTTATGAATATATTATGAGTCTTGTTAATTTCCAACACAAGTGGTTGTTATAAGCAATCAGTACTACCATATGGTGAGAGATAGCCTGTGAATTAGGTTGGTTAAGGCGGTACCAGTCATTCATGACAGCTGCAACCTGAAAATTATCCAATGTCAATTCGGGTCACTACTAGTGCTGTCAAAATCTTCAACTTTACTTCAATTTTATGAACTTTCTGGGGTGCTGTGTGGAGTAGGAATGAGTTTACCATGTTGTGAATGTTATTCTAATAATTATGATGTAAACTGTGAACACAAGAAACAAAACTTAATCCCTTATTTCCCTAACACAGATCTTGTTACCCTTTCTGATTTCACTGACTGTGAGAATTCTCTTCTTTTCTCTGCAGGCAATTCATTAAAATCAACATGTTTTTTTATTTGTAGAGAAAGTTGCCTTGCTGTGAAAGATTTATTCTGTTACAAAGAGTGGAATCTAATCCTAGAGAATAAAAAAAATGGTGTTTACTTTCGCAACCGAGCCCATTTTCGATTACCAGAATGCAATGACTTGTCATCAATGTGGGATAATACCACCAGGTGTATTGCTGCCAACTTGTTTGAACGAAAGATTTCAGAAGTCTCCAGTAAGTCTTATGATTTATCATTTAATCCCCTTTCTTTATCAATCTATAATATATATATAGCACCAGCCATATCATATTATTGCACTTCTTGCTAGTTTTTGCCTGTATTCAAGGTTACTATAAATTTAATGATATTAAACATATACATCAATACACAGACGGCAAACACTTGAATAAAGAAAGGCAAAGTACTAGAATGAAGTCAGTTACGTGTCAGAGATTTGAGTGCAAAGTATGCATTATATTCAACCCTGAAGGTAGAGATAAAATTTATGCAATTTACTTCAACCACAGGGTAAAGATTGAGGAATTGTGTCACACTAAAATGGTGATTGAGATGGCATTAAATTGTAAATGAAATTCCAGTAAATTGTAAATGAAATTCCAGTATATTGTAAATGAAACTAGGAAGGTTCAAATCAACCTCATTGTCATTGTAAAGACTTTGATTAAGATCTCATATTTGTTTTTTCAAATGTTATTTTAGGACATTGAGTCCAAATTAGTTTAGCACATTGATTTATATAAATATTATGTTAAATTAGATATTTAATACAAGATAGAGAAAAGAGAAGAAAATATATCATATGTCTGTAGGACAGCTGCTAAATCTTTCAAAATCTCAATGTTTTATTTTTTCTCTTCCTGAAAAACATTTAGAAAACACAATCAAGCCAGGCTTGACATTTAAAAATGTGTGACCCAAACTACCCTTCTCATATATCTTGGTAATATAACTTGAATATCTGAAATTTCTGTATTAACTTATTTTTAATGGAATCTTATTGATATAATACTGACATGATTTCCCTTCAGGATATTCTTTTTTCAAGAGGACAACATATTTAGCTACAGAAGCTATAATAGGGTACCAACTTTTCTGCTTTTAGCTACAAAAAACAAAACAAAAATACTAAACAGTTCATTTTCATAAATGTCAAATTTAAATTTTGTCATTGTTATAAGTGATACACATGTACTTCTTTTAGGACAAATTTTTATTTTGACTAGACAAGGACCAAATAACTCGGCTTTTTGGGTATCTGGGATGTGATGTCAAAGTCATTTTTTGTTGATATTGGTAACTTGTTTATATAGAGTAAGGGGTTATAGATAGATATAATGTAGATCAAGAGAACAAGTAACTATGCTGGCCCTTACATATCAGAACTATTTCTGAAAACAATGCAGCCAAAAATGGCAGAGACATTAATGAAATTATGAAGTTTGTATGTGAGAAAGTACAGACAGCCTAAATTTCTACAGATATCGGTAAGACACTTCATCTTGATGTCTGAGGTATCATAAATATTTTATTTGAGTGCCAACACTTAATCTGTATAAATGACAAATTTGTACCAAAAAAATAAAACATATTTTGATAAACTTGTATTTCAATAAATTGAAATCTTGTAGAACTTTAAGACAATTGTAGATTACTGATGATACGTTTTTTTTTTTATAAAGAATTGCTGAAAAATTAAACCCATTTTCTTATCTTTGTTGTGACGCCATAAGTTTTAACATATTCATTTCAAACCAAATAAATCAGAAAATGAGATTTTAAAAAATAGGAGTGAGGTTTCTCACAATCTTGTCAAATGTTTATCATGTTAGAGCAGACAACTTGTACATGTTAATCTGTAGGAAAGGCATCTTTTATTAAATTTCATGTAGTAAATTCAATCCTTATAAAATACAGCTGTTAAAGGCAAAACTGAATCCCTTGGTTTCTACAAAACAGCTGTAAAGACTAGTCCCTAATGATTGAAATTTTGACAGAATATGTACATGTGGAATCATAGCCTTTCTGATTAATATTTTAATACTCAGGAGAAATAATATTTGGGTCTCAAGTTACCTATATGATTTAGTTGATTTAGTTGAAAAATAAACTAATCTTACTGTATTTCTTAGTATTAGAATCAGAGCGGCCTTAACTATTGAACATCTGCACTCCAAAATATAAATGACTAGTTTTTGCATTATATCATGGTATTATTATATCTTGATGTATTTCTGAGTATTCAGATAAGAGCAGACATTTCAAGAACATCTGCAATTAAGAAAACAAACATATCTTTTAACAAAAGTGCTTATTTCGGGTGTTTCATTTACCGGTATGGCCTGAAATTGTATCATTCCATCAGATGTCTGTGGTTCCTGTAACTATAGAAATACTAAACTGTATATGACGCCACTATCACAAAATCTGTTAATGATATCTTAGGGCCTTTGCAATAGCTACATTACAACACTTAGTTTTAGTGGAATTGCACGACCCACTGACTGAAAATTGGAATGGTGAAAATGCATGAACCCTATTAGTGTCCTTGAAACACATAAAAAGTTAAAACCTGTTCGATTCCTTTAATAGCATATTTTTATATTGAATTTTATCAGTTACAAATTTGGAATTGAAATAGAACATCTGATCAAAGATGCTTATTTATATTTGAAAAGTGTTTCAGTTACTCAAGGCCCTTGTTACATCTATTTTCAGGTGATTGTTATAAGGGCAAAGGACAATGGTATAATGGTACTGTTAATGTCACTATGTACGGTCTACCATGTCAAAGATGGGAAGACCAATCACCTCAGAAACATGACCGTCCCCCTAGTGTATTTTTAGATCTTCTGAATTCTGAGAATTATTGTCGTAATCCTGGTCAAGAAGAAGATCAACCTTGGTGTTATACTGTCGATGAATCTAAACATCAACGCTGGAATTTCTGTGATATTCCAAAATGTGGTAGGTGGCAAACTGTTTATTTTTAGGTTGTAATAACAGGTAATAAGTACCCTTATTAGTTTTGATTTATCAGTTCATCAGTTTTGAGATAATGGCATTTCTTTGTTTTTAAAAGTGTTCAGCTATTTTAAATTTTTCTATGTTTCTATGAATCTTTTGGTGGAGGGTTGAATAGGGGCCAGAGGGTTGTCCAGAGGGGGTAGGAGGAGGGGACAAATTCAATGATAAGGAATAAAAAAGGGGATGGAGGGAACAGCTTCTGAAATGGTTAACAGCTATATTGTAAGGAGTATATTGATAACAATTTGAGGTGCATGGAACAATTTTAAACCACTTAATATCTAACAGTTTCTGGTGTTTATCTAAGTGTTTCAAGTGCAAGCAATTTAAATACTGTCCGTAATGACTTATACTAAGTAATTTATATTTGATATCAATATTGTTGATGAAAGTTGTTAAGAAATTTCAATTAAGTGGTTATGTTGACTTACATCAACCATCTTTGAAATTTTGGCATCTTTTTATAAAGTACTCATTCTGTCTAATTATTACTTGAATAATTCGTAAACTTCAAAGTAAATTGCTTAATTAAGGCAACAATAAGTCAGGTTTGCGTTGTCCAATCTTATCATGCTTATTCCTTTCGAAACACCATACATTACCTCGTTAATGATTTAAAAAAATAGGATAATCAACTATGTGATTATGCAATTTATAAATATTTTTGTTAGGAAGGTTTGTGGAATCCCTTTTTTATCTATTGGTAATTCTTGAGAACAGCTAAAGCCTTTTATTTGTGAGAGTTTGTAAATTTTAATCAGTTTTTATCAATGAATAATTATCATAATTATACAAAGTTAATTTAACTATCAATGTTATTTTTCATTTTAGAAATGCCATTAACAACAGTGCAAACAGAATTAGATAGTGAAAATACAGAACCAGACAAATTAAAAACAATCATTATAATATTCATTGTATCAGCTGTAGCAATATTCATTGTCACATTAATAGCTGTGATCAGTTATAAACTCATATGTGTTCAAAACAAGCTGAAATTCAAATATAACTCAACACCACAAGAAGATTTGGAAATCAATGTTGAAAAACTACCTCCTAATTCATTATACCATAGAATCAAAGATAAACCAAAGTTAAACCCTAAATTAGAAGGACTAGAATTTCCACGCAATGATGTGGTGTATATACGTGATCTGGGACAAGGTGCCTTCGGTCGTGTTTTTAAAGCAAAAGCTCCTGAATTAGTAAAAGGAGAAACATTTACTTTTATAGCTGTTAAAATGTTAAAGGAAGATGCTTCAGAAGACTTACAAGCTGATTTTGAACGTGAAGCTTCCTTATTGGTTGAATTTAATCATCCAAACATTGTGAAATTATTGGGTGTATGTGCAGTAGGAAAACCGATGTGTTTATTATTTGAGTATATGAGTAAAGGGGATCTAAATGAATTCCTGCGTATTTGTAGTCCTGATCATTTTATCATTAATCCTCGTAGTCATGACATATATTCTTATGAATATTCATCTTTAGACTCTGTTAACCAGTTGAATATTGCTAAACAAATTGCCAGTGGTATGGTATATTTATCTGAGAAAGGATTTGTGCATCGCGATCTGGCCTCCAGAAACTGTCTTGTGGGTGAAGATTTAAAAGTAAAAATATCCGACTTCGGTCTAGCAAGGACAGTTCACAGCATAGAATATTATCGTGGCAGTGAAAATGATGCAATACCTATCAGGTGGATGCCTCCAGAGGCAATCTTGTACAATAAATTTTCAGTTAAATCAGACGTATGGTCATTTGGTGTAGTTCTGTGGGAAATTTTTTCATTTGCTATCCAGCCTTACTATGGAATGACACATGAGGAAGTGGTGAAGTTTGTGAAAGAGGGTAAAGTGTTGGGTTGTCCTGAAAACACTCCTCAACCTGTGTATGAACTGATGAATTTCTGTTGGATACGTAAACCAACTGAAAGACCAACATTCCGCAAATTACACAAAGCAATTAGTTCTATGTATGAAGAATATTATAAACAAAAACAAATTGCCGAGGATATATAAGAGAGGGTATAATGTATTAAGCTAGTGACCAATTCAACATTGTGGTGTTGATGAATAGTATGCTTCCAGTCAAACTTCCAGACCAAAAACTCACGTTCATGGGAATAATTGTGTATTTGGATCATTGAATTCCTAATGTATTACATGTATCTTTATTGTGAACTTAACATTATATCAAGTATGAGCAGTTATGCTGTGTTGAAATGACATTTTGTATTGTGTCTTAATTTTCGTTCTGGATCAGTGAGCTTGTTTCGAACTGCTAGCACCACAGGCTGACTTTAAATCCAGTATATTTATATCAGTCAATCTCTCCACAACAAAAACAATCAAAGTTTTTCTTTCCATATGTAACAAAGTCACAATCTTCACAATAGCACAAAGGTAAAAGAAAATTAGAATTGATTAAATCAAAAATGATAATAATTTTAAATTTCATTGATCAACTTATGCCATTACAATGCAATTTCCAGGATGGTTGATGGATTGGAATACTGTAGATAGACCTACTTAAAATGTGGCCACAAAATCTGTTACCACTTGCAATTCTAAAGTTTATTAATGGTAATTTGCATGTAGTAACCATGAAACAGAAAGGTAGATGACTTGCTTCGATTTTGATTGATTAAATGTATCTTAAATTTTTTATGTGTATCTGGGACATTAATAGAATCTATTTGCTCCATTCCAATTTTCGATCAGACGTCTGTGATTCCTGTAGTTCCAACAAAACTAAGTGTGTGATGAGGTAATTTGTTTTATCATATAAGGACTGTTGCCATTAGTGACTTCATTAAACACTTAGTTTTACTCAAAGTTTTAGTGGAATTGCATGAACCACAGGCGTCCAGTTGAAAATTGGAATGGTGCAATTTGATGCTCTAATACACAAATAAAAAAATTTGAAAACCTCTATACAATCACTTTGATGTAAATTTTTAAAGCAACTCCTCTGAAATGAATGATAAAAATGTGTTTTGCTGAGTTGAAGATGGAACAGAAAAAGTAATAGTCAAGCCTTTATAAAGAAATTGCAAAATAGTAATAAGTTATAAAAGATTTAGGCTAGAAGAATGAACGATTTAAAGGGACCAAGCTTTATATCAGGTTTATGTTTATGTTTGGGTCACTGTTAAGATCTGAAAAATCCTGTAATCTGTTATCCATAAATCATTTACATTTCCATATTTTCACTAATTAATACTATATCACATAGCCAATCTTTATTCTTTATCAAGGCAAAATATATCTTATCAAGTAGATATAGGTTTTTCTAAATTGCAAGAAAGATTAATGCTGAGCATGATACACCAATCATATTTTGTGACTTTGCCAATACATGTACTAGAAATAAATGTTATTTTCACTTTTGTCTCAAAATTTTGTCACATAACAGAGATTTGTTACCTGTTTGTTATTTGTTTGAGATAATAAAACAAGAGCCTTGCTATATATTTTGGGATAATAACTAATAAATGGTAGGCCTACATATGAATGTGAATCTCTACAGCCAGCATGTCAAGGCACCTGCCAAAGGAGAGGTCTAATTAATCTTTATCGAAAGTTTTCATACATTTTTTATCTGATAAAGTTCTAAAAACAACTTGAAAGGTATCACTAATTAAACCAAACTCGATCCTCCGTTTAAAACCATAAATATTATATACAAGTAAAAGAAAAGTAGAGTGGTTTATGACTGTAGGCTTACAAAGCAACATTAGGTGATCTACAAAGAGCTATAACTTCGGGATTTCAGAGAATTCGTAAGCTAAAGGTTTTTGATTTTTAGGCATACTTAGTTATATCAACTTTCTTCATAACAATCAAGATATCTAGGTAATCGTAGTGACGACAGTTCCATTTTATCAAAATTTCCATAGTCAGTGACATAATCCTTCGAATTCCAAGGTGCCCACACAACCTTCCAATCGCAGCCATCACCATTGATCTCTCTATTACGACCATCTTCCCACCGTCGTATTAAGTCTCTAGTCTGATCCATAACTATCCACTTCCACTCTTGGTCCAAGTTCCTTTCTAAGGGTACAGTTGCTGACCATTCACCTGACCCACCAGGGTATTGATAAGCTGGAACTGACTTTGATGATTGCCACTCTCCCAGAGCATCACTAGATCCAATTAAAGCAAGTCGTTCGTCCGAGTATGTGTGATAACACGTATAAAATGTTACAACACACATGTCCGGTTCCAAAATCTTGACATCATCGTCCCAGACAGTGTGCAGTACCCCACCATACCTCCCTATCTTACATGTCCTGACTTCCTTTTCAACATCTACTACCTTTTGACCTTCAAACATCGTCCACCTCCAAATAAACTCCGATCTTTGTGGAATATCAATAAAGGTCTGATACCAAATATCTGTATCATCTTTAGATGTTTCGTTGCACATAACGGTCTCGCTCATTGTCCACATCCCCGAGGTACATCTGACATATCTTATTCCAGGTCGATATGTTGGTGGTAATTTCTCTGTCACATGAAGTCTGAAATTGATCTTAACAGCCCGCGAACTTTTTAATTTATCGATGTTCAAAATTGTTTGGAACTGAGAAGTATTTTTTTCTTCCAGAGGACAATTATCGTCTTCTCTTACTTTGTCATCCCGATCAGTTTCGCCATATTCCGTAACTTGTCTGAGAAATGCCATTCCTGAGGCTGGTGATAGACTCAAAGTTTGGTTACAAAGTTTTCGAGAGATGTACATCGATACGTCACTGGAAATTGACGTTCAATCCACGTCATTCTTAACAAACTCCACTTAACTGGTCGGACATTTTAAGTTGAAAATTAACTTTATCCATCAACTATACAGCGTGTTATGGACAAAGAATAATGTATTGCTTGACACATTTTCCATGCAGGCCCCCTTTTTTTGCTCATTGTCATTCTAAATCAATAGAATTGGTACCTCTTCAGCGATATCTTCTTGGAATAGAAACTTCTCTCCGCGACTCCCCATAGTGCCCATTTCCAATCACATGGTAACCACGCCACACATAATATTATTATGTAAACATGCCTACATGCCTCACCCAAAAAATACACTTAAAATTGCTAACTGACAGTTACGCATGTCGTCTACAGGTCGCATGTTCTTTTCTAAGCATCGGATCCGTCGCAGTGGACATGGACGATGTTTACCTTAAGTATGTGGCCACAGATTCCAAGAGCTCAAATCTTATTAAGTAGAATACGAGCAACTGCTCATTGCAACTTTCGGTTACTGTGACTGCAATGTGGTATGAATCCTTTCTGACAGATTCTTCAAGTTGGCCTTCTGTTAAAAATTATGGAGAATTTTGGAAACAATTGAGAAATATTTGAAAAATCGTATTAACTAATCGGAACTATTGGTCTTGCCACTCCTTTCTAAATGAAATTACGACTGTTATGACTGATGTGTCAGTTTGAAACACATACAAGATGATAAGATAGGCTATCAAAATATAATATTTCTGTTAAAAACAGGCGAATACAGACATATACATTACATGGTAACTTTATCTGCAGACATAACATTTTTTAATTGGTTTTTACAACTAATTTCAACAATTAGACAATTTGTTTGACGTTATCTCTTCTGATACTCAACTACATCAGTAAGGATGAAGACAAAACACTCAAGTCATCTTTGGACAATTAATTATATTTCCTTAAAAGCACATATAATCTGATAGCAACACGTGTTTGTCTGAAGCTTCATGGTTTTCCCGCTTGAATTGTCTCTTTTCATATTGCTTACGTTTAAAATTCGATCTTATCGCTAAAAGACTTCAACTGAGATCATTTATAAAAGTTGAGAGCCAAGATCAGGAATCATAACAATCCTCAACAAGAGATTTCAAGGTTTTCACTGATTCTACACTGGTGTCTTTTAAAGCCATTGTGAGTAAAATTTGTTTATTAGTTTTAACACCAGACGTTAAATTTTTGGCTATCACATGTGTCAATGGCTGCAAAAAAAGGAAAGAAGAAAAAGCATAATAAGAGTATAAAATTATTTCTAAGCTTTGTTGAAACCACCTATAGCTGTATAATTTGCATCATCGGCAAGATCTGTAATAAACTTCCAGCAATGAGATGAGACCAATGCGTCAATTAGATAAACAAGTTGGCCTGTAACTAAGATTTTTCAACGTTAATGAGGCAGATGTGCGAGCTTTAGATGTCTACAAACACCGTAAATGTCAAAGAATAAAAATATACAACCAATTTTCAAGAATGTGATTATCACTGGTGATTCGGTCATTCTCATTTTATGAAATGAATAGTTATAAGGTTTTGGTTATGACAAAGTCGCATAATCATTTAAACCACAGTGGCCAAACGGACACAATCCCCAAATTTGATAGAGCCTACTTCAGAAATATATGACATAATCATTATTTTGAAAATTAGGAAACGATCTTCTATAGTTTTCAGTAAGGCCCCGACACTATCAATAACAATCTACATACCTCATCCTTCCCAAGCAGAACTTTGCTGTTATATACAAGCGACGATTTCTGCATTTCGTCCAAGACCGTATCTGTATCAATTTGGACCTGCAATTTAAAGTCCTTGTTAAGACCGTACCACTGAACTGAAGGGTCGTGATAGTCTGTACATAAGCTCTTTGGCTCTTAATTTGAAATACATGTAAACCTATATAGTTAATTATGAACATACACGGTGAATTTATCGAAACTTGATCAACGAACCTTCCGAAAAGAACAATTTAAAGGGACGGATGCACCTTTTTTCGACCAAGCATGCTTTAGTTTCAGCGCTTTTGCCCCATTATAGAATGCCAAGCTTTAAGTTTGTGGTCAAAGGGAAGTAATTTCACATAATTGTGGTCTGTAGTCCCCTGTAAAGCTACTTGATATGTGTGCCAACTTACAATTGTTCCCAATTTTTGAAATTGGGTAACTACCACCATCAATCTATCGGAATACTCTGTAATGATTATTTCACTTTTAATACCATTGATGTCGAAGGCCGTCTGGAAAAAATCAGATTGTTGAGAACGTACACACTCCTAGCCCCTACAGTGCACAATGTTAATGTTCACACCAATTATTTTTGTGAATATCGACCAAAATACCAAATAACTACTGAGTCTTAAATCAGATCAGAACAGATCGAGATCAGTGTAAACATGTACTAGAAATTGAAAGCATTTCCCTAAAATAGCCAGGTTCATGAGTCGGTCGATTTGACATAGGTAAGCATACTGCGGCTTGATTGAGATAAGAATATTTGGACGGTGTGACCATCGACCCAGTGTTATAGAATTACTTACATTTTCAAATTCTGACCCCCCAAAACAGATAAAATTTTATTTAATCCAATCTGCAATGAAATTTGTTAGTTTTTAAATTATTCAAAGATAATATTGATAATTCTAACCTGCTTTGATTTGACAGGAAAGTTTTCAGGCGTGGACTCTATGACGGCTGACATCTTGAATTTTGAAAACGAGGCTGCGTCATTTCACCCAGTTGATAGTAAATCATTTTAGTAAACAAAACAGAAGAAGCATCATGCCTGTCGATGTTATTGGATATGCCTTCGCAGCTACGGTTGCCGCGGGTGGTGTGTTAGGTTATGTGAAAGCTGGTGAGTATTTCTATGAGACTGTCATCTGTTTAATATACATATTATTATGCTGTAGGCCTATTACATTCTTATATATTAGAATGGAGATGGCAAGTCAAATCGGACATAAGACAAATAGGACAATATAATAGCTGGTTTGGTGACAAAGTCGCCTTTGCTCGACTCAATAGTTTTATGTACAAAGAATATTTGAACAGATACAAATAGCGTCCTTATTTTTTCAGCAAGCACACCTTCTCTTGTTATGGGATTAGCATCTGGTGCTGTCTTAGGAATTGGAGCTTATCAAACAAGCAATGATCCCAAAAATGTGTATACATCACTCGGTGAGTATTTCAATATTATTTTGGTCTACTTGTCAACATTGGCATTGATCAAAAAAATCTTTCAGGTTACTGAGCTAATCTGTTCAAGAATGTTACATTTATTAGTTTTTCATCTTCTCTGCAATTTGAACATAATGTCTTTACCATGTGTAAAACTTGCAAACTGGATTATTGCAAAATGTTCAGTAGACACTTCAGTCTAGCATTCAGGCCTTTGTCTACATGAATAAGACTAATAAAAATGCAAGAACAAATATAATTTGTAATCATTTGGATTTATATTGTTCCACAAGTAGTTGATGTAAAATATATTTTGTTTTCAGTTACAAGTGGTATATTAATGGGAATTATGGGCGCTAGATTTATTAACTCTGGAAAATTTATGCCAGCTGGCTTGGTAGCGACATTAAGGTATGTTTAACATAATTGTAACATGGACAAATATTAAGATTTTTTTACCCAATGATTTGAATATGTAGTGCTAGATTGCAATTTGTGTATATACATGGTGGAGCAAAGGTCTCTATTGTGGGGTCAGAAGTACTCAATGTTATGATATATACAGATAGCAGTGCATAATAATTATCATGTTATCAAACCCATGTCACTTGAATTTCTACTTGGTATTACACTTTAATGTCAGTTGTATTATGTATTGCTGTAACCTTCAGGTATCAAATAATTTCTAGAGCTTATAGTCTGTCATCAAATATCTGTATCACTTTAGAGAGTGTAAATCTGTTGTCCAGTTTGCCATATGTTAAAAGACAAAGGCAGAAGTAATACAAGTCATAGCTCATTCTCCCTTGCAGATATTACACACAGTTCCCTCACAGGCTCACACCAGTAGTGTATAGTTGTGAATAACGAAAGTGGTCATGAGTTCAGAACGAAACTTATGACACTATTCTTAATCGCTACAGGTGCAGGCACATTTAGTTATTGTTATGGATTAAATTTTTTAATCTGTATATTTCAGTTTATTGATGGTGGCAAGATTGGGTATGAGGTTAATGAATCAGTAATAAAAAAGACTGGTTGATTTTATGTGTATGATTGGTGTTGGATATCAGCTGTTTTTTGTTTTGATCATTCATGTTATGTCAGATACTATGTTGAATATATATTTTGTGGAACAAATACTCTGATTTTTCATTCTTTTTGATATTTCAAAGTTGTCTTCAAACAGACTGCTGGGTTTTGAATAGGATGACCTGGTCTGGATATCATAAGGGTCAGAAACGGGGTATATCAACTGAGGCATAGCTTTAGACAAGCTATTACACACCCTAAACAAATATTGTAATGTGGGAATTTATATTTCCCTGCCCTAAAATGCTAATGAAGCTACCTATATAACTAGAACATTATGTATATTCTGCTTTCAGGGAACAGTAAGAAATAATCTCCAAGACAATGCTAAACAAATGTCAAGCCTAAATAATATATTGAATGCAATATCTAACATTTTGGATGAGGCGTTTCAGATGTTGCTGAAATATCTGAATTTGAATGATGTAGAAAGCTGATAATCTCATTTTTTTTATGTATAAAGCCCTCACGCAAAAATTAAGAAAAAGACAGGAACACTACTTTTTAGGATTTTTTTTTCTATTTGATTTTCTGTTTTACATTAACTGATGCTTCAGGATTAACATCATTCTTTTCTGTAAGTTTCCTTTTTATGGTTTTATGGTTTTCAGGACGTTGTTCTGGTTCATCACTATCTGAATCTTCGCTATCAGGGTCCTCCTTTTCATCTGAATTATCTTTATCATTGGTATTATCTTCAATTTGTTCTAAAACTAATGTCTCTTCAGATTTCATGTGTTTTTTGGTGGGAAGAGGAGGTGTTACAGCTAGACATGTGATACGAAACTTTGTGTCATGTTCTACAACTTTCTCATACTGTTCCTAAAATACAATATATTTGCTAAGCACTACATTTACAATATTGTTTATGAAATTTTGATTGTAAACAACATGATTTCTAAGAAAAAACAAATGAGAATATGAGAACATAAACTAATCGATGGTAATTTAACAAGTAAGAAACCAACTTACCTGATCTATTTGTATTTTAAAAACCCAGATATTACCATCACTTGCTGCTATTATTAATAAAGGTATGTTATCATCAAAATATGAACAGCAAAGACCTTTTATTCTACAAGACAGAATATCATTTATTTTAAGTCACAATTTAATAAATTAGCAACAACAATGGCCAAAAGTAAATAAACATTCAAATCTATTTGTATTTATTTACTGACTATAATGTTTGCTGTAGTAATTAGACACAAACTAATCAATTACAGATATTGCCAAAATTTGAAAAAATGTTTATTTGATAGTAGGCACAATTACTTGTCAAGCTGCAACATAATTCAGTTGTCTGAAGATTGTAAAGTATGAATCTATGTGCATACATTACCTGGTGCATTTTAACTGTAAAGATGTGACTTGTTTATCTGTAGTAAAATCATGTAAAAACACCTGTCCTCCTTCCCCGCCATAGGATATTACATTATTCTGAAAACACAAGCCAAGTATTATATTAGTTCTTCATTAGTATCATATTGAAAATGATTCTAGTACACACTGGTAAATAGATAGAAATGACATTGAAAAAAACATTGGTGCTGAAAAGCAGGACATGGTTTAGTAAAGGAGATTCAGAGACAATTACCCAAAGACAATATCCAATGAAACTAAGATAAGGAAACTTACATTTATAAAGACTATGTTATTGATTCTCTTCTCTGATTCTATGGTACAATGAATGGCAGCATCCTGAAAATTAACAGAAATTGGACTTCATTCAGACTTTCTACTTACATAGATAAAGGCATCTAAGTGAAATGAGACTTTGGAATAATATAGGGATGCTTATGGGAATAAAATGATTCAGCAGGTCAGCAAATTGTTGCTGGATTCTGAGACAAATGTGAAACAGTGCCCAGAGCTTACAGGTCTGACATTGCATTTTCATGCAATGAATTGCTGCTTTATTTATCATGTCATTGTTAAATTCATATATTATTAAATATTAATATATATTATATTCATTATGTAAATGTACTTGAATAACTTACCTCCATTTTATAAATGTGAATTTTATTGTAAATACTAACAGCATAATGATTTCCATCAGGAGACCATAAAACATTATCGGCAACTAAAATACATTTATCATTACAAATTACATTACAATCCTCTAGAATGTTCCAACTGAAGGATTTATAATTTTCATCAGTTTGGATATTGCCGTAACAACATACAATAATCAAAGATGTAAGAGGAATGAAAAATATAATTGAAATCAGTTTTATAAGCAAGCTTTTAGATAAATATAATCTCATACTTACTCTCTTTAATATTACTAATATAAGCATGTCTACCAGTTATTAAGTTCCATGTTCTTAATGTTTTATCTTTACTCACTGTTATAGCTAATTTACCACTGGGATGTACTGAGACACTGTTTACTGCACCCCTGAAAAACAACATATTTTTCTTATAGATTTATGAATTTGCATACAAATACAGTTTACTCTGGATTTTTATTACTAGAATTTCTATCTCAGCCTCAAATTCAGTATTCCAATATTGCAATATGTCACAACCAGACTCAGTTTCAGAGGACAAAATCTGTGAATTTTTTAATTGGTAAACAAAGATGATTTATTTGTATCCTTACTTGTGTCCTCTGAATTGACGTAAACATTCCCAAGAATAATTCTTCCAAACACACATAGTACCATCTTCACTTGTACTAAACATATGACTATCTTGATGAAAGGTTATCTGAGTTACAGTACCTAAAATATCAATAAAAATAGTCAGTTACAGAGCTTGATGTCTTTATACCCTTCGAGAATAAAAAAGATGGCCATCCTGTAAGCTTTGCCACATATAACAAAACACTCTGAAAATTAATTTTTCATATAGGACGTCAATGTTGATGCTTAAAAACAATAGCATGAAAAATCTTAATTACTCTGATACTGTGTCCTTTTTTTTTTAATAAATAACTGTTCTGACAAACCTTTAGAGACGTTACCTGAATGATGCATCAGTGTTCCCAGTTCAGTTTGTTTCTGTAGATTAAACAACCTGATGGTTTCATCTGTACTTCCAGTAGCTAAGACATTCTTCCTAGATATTCCTGCTGACTTGATGCATCCCAGATGAGAATGATCTGTAAATGTCTGTTCTATTTTATATGTCTAACAAATAAAATGCAAAAAAATAACTAATAATATAATGTCATCCTCATATAAATACAGATAATTTAATAATCACTGTGAATAACCTCATCAATTATTCATTTGTCAATAGAAATATAGTAAAATTTTTCGACTAAGTCTTGGGTTAGTACTGCCATCCCTTTATCATGGTGACTGGACAATTTAATGGTGGTCTGTAGTATTCATAAAAAATTCCTTGCCCAAGGTTTAACTGCCAAATTCAAATCTCTCACCTCTTCAGAGTTTATCAATTTATAACCCAATATGAGTTCTTCGTATGTTCCTACCACTATATTCATTTTAGCTGTAGATAGACTTTCTGTAATGGAAATATTATAAAATTCGTGCACAGAAAATCACGTTTTTATTTTGCAAACATTAACAGTTATCTTCCCTTACAAATGTAGTCATCGTTCTCAAGTACTCATATGACTAACTTGTTGATCTTCTAATCATTTGTTCCATAAACCTTTTCATTGAAATTGAAAGTTCGGCAAGATATTTCCACAAAACAGTCTGATCTTGCTTATTTTTTAATGTTTGATAAACCATTTTTGAACCAATATGAAAAAAATATGTTAAAGACCTGATAATCGAGATCACCTTTAATTGGATGGACATAACTCTAAAAACTAAGGGCATTCTTTTCAATTTGTAGAGATTAATTATTGGCATCAATAATTGTTATTATTTAGTTTATTTCGGCAAGCAAAAATGGCAGAAAGACAGAGAGGATATGGTGATAATCGAGCAGATTACAGGCGGACACACGTTAGGTATGTTGGTTCTTGCATAGTTTATTTATCCGGTAAAGGCTATTTTTAAAATCTCCTTTTTGCATTGGCTCTTCATTGAGAAAGACAAATCGTCCACAAACTGGTCAGTCCTTGTGAGAAAATGAAAACTTTTGGAAAAATAGTCCAACAACGTATATTGATGTTAATTTTTTAATACTTTTCAATCAGAGATACTAAAGCATATACATGGATAATCAAATTTAACAGAGATCTCTTTTATTTTGCAGACCAGAATATTGTCTGTATGTTGGTGATTTGTCTAATGATGTAGATGATTCTATGCTGTATTATGCCTTCAAAAGAAATTATCCTAGTTTATACTCTGCTAAAGGTAAAATAAGCAAATTAAACGCATGTCACAATTTACACATTTTCGAAATAATAAAGGTTTGAATTAGTTATTCTGGTTCCATTCCAATGAACAGGCACGTCACAAAGCACAAATAATGTGCTTTAGTTTTTACATGAAATGCAAGAAAAGAAAATGCAGAAAGTGATGTATTATTGCTGTGCCATAGGGGATTAATGCTGGATAGTAGCAATAATTAGCCTTTATCTTGTTTCAATAATACTTTAAATCTTTATTTTCAGTTACATACGACACAAGTGGTACAAGTGGTAAAAATAAAAATTATGGAATAGTGAGATTTGATGAAGAATTGGATCAACAGAAAGCTCTCATTGAAATGCAACATATCAGAATTGGTAGAAGAACAGTGAAAGTTAGTTTGGCAGCACCAAAGAGGTATGCATTATTTCAGTTCAGAATCTAGTTGCTTAGTTCCTTTGTTACTTGTATTTTCAATCATTGAAAATGAAGCTACACTTTTTATTCAGGTATCTGTATTTAATCTTCCTGTGCAAACAATGTAATAATTTTTTGCATTTCAATTTATCATAGATACGTTCTCAAAGTAAAGAAGCAATCTGACAGTGAAAAACTCGGTTTGACATCTGATTTCTCTATAATCTTTTGTTATTTGTAGAACAGAAGCACCTGGTACCAGTGAATCTGTGTATTATTCTCAATATAACTCTACATCAGGTCCTAATCAGTATCATTGGGGAGGATATACAGTCAATTATAATACTAATCCTTGTCAACAGGAATATCAGGTGATATCATTTGCATATTTGATGAGGGGTGGGGGGTACGATATGTTCTGTCTTACATTCAGCTCATGTGAATACAGTGCTATGATATATGATTAATAAAAAAAATTATAATCCAAATAATGATCATGGTTACAATAATGCTGACTGATAGATGAAGACTTACTTGAGAGTTTACAGACGTCATTGAAAATGGCAAGGAACTGATTAATTTCATTACTGAAATTTTGAAAAATATCTCATGGTTTGAATTTCAGGGACATTATCAACCACAGCATGATGATGAAGTTGATCCATTAGAAGGTTTGTATTGAGTTATCCCCCTTTAAGCAGAATATATGTTGATATTATGTAAGTTTGAAAGAATAAGCTTAGTAAAGCCAATATACTTTTGCACATTAGGGTCTGATTTAAAACATTATCATGAACAGTTCACTTTATTTTCAGGTAGTGTAAGTGGTGATAGACAGAATATGTCTGGCTTGTAACATTTAATTTCTATTCATTCTACCCCAAAATAAAGTGGACTCCTTTTGAATTGTCTGTTATTTTCTATGTAATTATTTTAGATCCTCAGTTAGAAGTTGATGTAGAAAAAGAAAATAGAGAATTTATGATATCAAGTGAAGTAAGTTGAAGAAAATCATATTATCTTATTATTCTTTTGTAACTTAATAGTACTTAATATTGTATCGTCTCTTTCACTCATCCGAAAATATTAAATATTTCTACTATGGCACTGTGGCCAATTTATTTCAAATGATGGATCCAGTATATAATTTTACAATCCACATGCTTCTTTTAAACATTTTATATCTTTGACTTTAGTTAGTTTTGCTCTATGTAGTTGCCATAGACTTCATAGTATTCGATGTTTTTTTTTTATTGTAGGCTTTCTTCAATGCATTGGATCAATCAAGATGGCATCCAATAGATCATGTGACTTCACAACTTCATCCTTTTGTCAGCTGAATTTTCACAATTTTAAAAAATGGATTCAAATTTAAAATTAATTGCAAAGATGACCTAGAATTGTGGAAGAGAAACTTGTTCTTAATGACTTTATGAAAATAGAGCAACATTACTCATTGACACATCACTGCCTAATGGAGGTGAAAATTTGGTGCAGGGTGGTGCATGTGATAAACACCATTATATAAATTATGCTGGATATAAACATATGTCATTCACATTGATTTATAATTAAAGGCCATGGTTAGCCATTTTCGGGTTGATTTGGGTCTTAAATATACGTAAATAGTCTTCAGGAGTACTAGAAATGGATGAAAAAAGCATAATTGACACATCACTGCCTAATGGAGGTGAAAATTTGGTGCAGGGTGGTGCATGTGATAAACACCATTATATAAATTATGCTGGATATAAACATATGTCATTCACATTGATTTATAATTAAAGGCCATGGTTAGCCATTTTCGGGTTGATTTGGGTCTTAAATATACGTAAATAGTCTTCAGGAGTACTAGAAATGGATGAAAAAAGCATAATTCGTTCAAAAAACTTCAAACTAGGAATTTTACTGTCTACTTCTGTCTACTTCTATATATATGTATCTTTTCTACGAGTCAATTGTGGATACCTTTGTACACACATGGATTTGAAGGTCATATTTCGACGGTAAGCTGTGAATACTATTTCTGATTAGCTTAGCTAAAAATTTACCATTTCTGAGACTAAGGTATGATTGGTCAAATGAATAATGAACCTGTCCCTTTAAAAAATTAAAGTTATTGTGATGTGGTTTGTTATGACTGGTTGATCCTAACAAAGTGAATGACCCCCTTTTTTTTAAACAATTCATTGGTCTACAGTAATGTAGCATGTCCTAAAAGAGCTAATTATATAAGTTGAATGAACAATGACTTTAAGTCTAAAATTTACTTGAAATAGATGTGTGTTGTTTTTCTATGTTTGTTTCAATTAGTAATAATTGTAGCCATGTGGGTTAAACCCATGTATTTGTATTTATTAAAGATATGTATGTTTGTATTGAGAATTTAAAAGTATGTGAATTTAACAGAATGACAGACTTAAAATAGAATTGAGGCAATAAATTATGTATTTTTATTGAATCCTTTTCCCAAATGTTGTACTTTTAACTTACATTTCCAGTCTGTTTCTGACCAACTTTTTAACCACCAAATGTTCCTTGTTTTTTCTGACATCTCTTTCATAGAAAGTAATTTGCAATTGACTACACCATAAGAATGTTGCAAAATTTTATCTAATCAGTCAATGTCTCACATAAAAATACACCAACATAAAAACTTAGAACTATATGAGAAAAAGTGGCTTGCCATTTCATTATTCAATTTCTCTCAGGAAACAAAACACTGGGGTATCTAAGGTTTTTAATCAAATTGTAATGTGACATTTTTGATAACATTTCACTGCAAAAACAAATGAGTGAAATGTGTTAATTCTATTATTTTTCTTCTTTTGAGATAAGATAATGTTATCTTACAGATACATACACACTATATTGTAATATGTGTCCGGTTGTTTTGTCAGAGATAATTAAACCAGAACATGTTTTCATTATTTCAATAAAGAAATGACCAACAGACATCGTCGTAAGACGGCGGCAAAGACCACTGTTTGTCTGACCAACATTCAATGGTTCTAAGTTCTTACGATATCGAATATTTTTGACAGTGGGACCCAGATCTGCATAATAACGTATTGGATAGGCAGAATTTTTGAAAAACAACAATGTCTGTCTCGTATCTGTAAATCTGTAACAATACACCACTGATGTAATTGGCATACAGCGGTGTAACCTTACACCATAAAGGCCAACCCGGAACTGATGGTTTTATCTTAATGTAACAAATGACATTATAATTAGCTAGATTCCTGTCTGTGGGACATGTAAATTTCCTGGCCAACTCATCATGGTTATAATCGCCTTCGACCAAACCGAATCTACTTGTTGTTGAATTATGAAAATTCATACAAGCAGAAAGTCCCATCCTTTTCAGGACGACTAGTTTTGGAAATCGCGGGTTTTCTTACGAACTTTGTTGCGTATGAGAAAAGTGAAAAAAAACTCCTGCAAAACAGGTGCGAAAAGTCGACAAGAATAATATATTTAATTTAACCCCGATTTGTGGAAGCGCTTTTGACATTCAAACCTTATAGGGCAATGTATTTTTATGCTTGAAGAATGTTAAAAGTAGGGACCTAATTGTTAAGGACGCGGATGAAAAATTTAATAGATGTTTCAACACGTAGGTTTCTTCCTCCTTGAATAGAATTTTAACTAGAACATGATTATACTGATCCAAACTAGCTCTGACTGAATTGTTTAAAACTGAATTCATTCATTACTATTATCATTCTTTCATAAAATCTGTTGTAAAATTTCTTAAACATTGTGTTGAAAAAACCCTTTCTTTTAATAATTGATGAGATGTTTTAGTAAATATGGAAAGAAATATTATCAAACACTTCTATACATTTACAATACAATGTTCGGTCTTTAGGCGAAATCATTAATTACAAACAAAATTTCAAATTTAGTATATATACACGCCTATACATTTGGAATGAAATTCCGAATAGGCCTATTATACATTGGTTTTTGAAATTTCGACATTTATTATTTAAGAGATTCCTTTATAAGCAGAACTGATATCACTGCCTGTCATCTATACTCTGACAAAGACCCAATATTCTGCCTAAATACAAATTTCAAAAGAATTATCAACAGCTGTTTTAGATATATTGATGAAAACATCCCAAAGCTTCCACGGATCTTTCAATTGAAGTTTATTATTTCGATCGGGACCTATTGATATTGACTACAGGTGATAACCTTTCCTGTGGAAATGGGGTTTCTTTGTTAGTGAAATAGATAAAAGTCATTCACGTAATGTCTATTGATGATCAGTACAAATCTGATTAATCCTGTATACTTTAGAGGTTTATAAATGGGTTATCTCGAGGTGGAAATGAAATGAAAAGGGTATTTACAGTCGTTAAAGCAATAAATTTATTTAGAATACAGTCGGATAATAAGGGAGATGACCTTTAAGCTGCTTATTGGGAAAGGTCAATCTGGACCCCTATCACAATAGATGGAGGACATTGGACTGACAAACTTAAAGTAGTTGACTAATCACCATTGACCCAACAGTGCGTCAGCTGGGTAAAGGGCCATCCAGTATCGATAGAATGTTGTAATTTAAATTAGCCGACCCCTGCCATGTTCTAAAGATAAGAATTGGCTATTCATATGTCATTAAGTTTAATTTATTATGTATGGTACCATGTTGCAGCCATTGTAATCTGGTATTTACAGATTTTATTTTAGATTTTATATCCCACTTCATATGGTGACTTAATCGGGGTTTAAACTTTTCACGTGAAGAATATTTGAACCTACACATTCGAGGTGTCAAATGAAGTCTACTGTTTATTTTGTCGGATTTGATATCGGTAGAAAGAAAAACTTGTTTAAAGGTGGTTATGGAACCATCACGGTTCAAAATAGCCAGAAAGCAGGATTTTATGGCGTTAGCTTGCAAATAGAAGAACCAAGTCGGTAAAATCATTTCAAACTTGTTTAAAAATGACAAAAATGGGTTGAT